TAGCTCGTTGTTTCTCCATTAAGCTCCAAGAGATTTAGATTTTCAGCTCATTCAGCTCAGCCTGCATGAAATAGCAAATGTAATTAAAAGAAGATACATTTTAAGCCCTTAAACGGTGAAAAAGAAAAGGTAGAGTAGTTGCTCTGGCAGCAGAATGTAGCCCCAACCTTCACATTTTTCGGGGAGTTGCCATAACATTAGGCATTTGGAGCATATTTGGTTGAACTTAGAAAAAATATAGAGTATTTGAAGTTGAAAGTTGAAAAAGGGCAAACTAGTGTCTCAGCTTCAAATTCTCCATTTCTAAGTTGACAATGATTTAAAGGACCAAAATGCAAAACAATAAGTAATTGATTTGAATTGAAGTTGAAAAAATGAAATAATTTTCAAGACGGAACGGTTCTTAGGAATCTTAGCCAGTAAATACAGAGAGCATTTCCAGTAAAATTACAGAATATTTTTCATCAAGGAACTGGGGCAGCAGTGTATACATTGTTTAAGTTGAAATACTATTTTCTTTCACTGGAAGGCTAATAGTTAGTTTCATCCATCTTTAACTATTTCAATAGTCTAATTCCCAGAGTATCATCCCAAAATAATAGGTCTAACACTATTCTAAATATAGATAACAATATAACATGGTGATGAACAGATAAATCAGTGAGACATATTTACAGACCAATGCAGAAAAGAGCAAAAAGAAGAACCTCTATCTACCACACAAGAACATGCAGGCAAGAAATAAACATAAAAGCATCACATTGCCAAATCAAATGCACAATCCTATAGGATAAGCAATGTAAAGACAATCAGACCTGAAACAGAAACAACAGCAACACCACTTACATCAATAGGCTGAGGAGAACAAATCCAAGAAGGAGGAGGCCAAAACAACTCAGCATAGCCATTGTAACTACTAATTGGACCAATGCTGCCATTATCCAAACTAAACACACCTATCCCGTGATTCTTCCACATTCCTCCATCATCTTCCGTGCTACAAAAAAACTGATCGGTGAACAGTATACAGTTCCCTTTACACCCACAATCAACCTCAGAAACTAATGCAGAAAACGTACAATTATCCCCCACAAACAGTATCCTATCTTCCAAATCAGTAACCTCAACCCACCTCTGCATCTCTCCATCCAGCTTATAAACTTTAAACCTAACTGTCCTTTCACTCATGTAACAATCAAATTCCTCGTAAAACTCCACATTCTCATTATATCCAAGATCATCTTCTGGACCAATACTCAAATACTTATCAACCATCAACAATTCCCCGCACGACTCCACAAGAAACTTCTTATCCCCACCAAACACAGACTGACCAACAATGGTCAATTCCGGCGCTGACCCATCACTCAACTTAACAAGCACTCCCTTCCCAGTATTATCAACAGCATAAAAGTTCCCATCTTTAAGAATAACATCATCGTACGGTAATGATGAGTCATCAACAATCGACCACTTCGTATCACCAGATCTATACATCACCAATTTCCCAGAAACATGAATTGTCAGTAACAAAAACCCATCTTCTTCCAAACGAACAGCAACTTTTTCCATGTAAAGATTCCCCGCATCCGCAATTGAATTAGCCCTAGGTCGGTACTTAATAAACTGAAGAGTATACTCCTGGCCTAATTCAAGAATTGGGTATTGCGAGGGATCCAAATTTTTAGGGAAATTGGAAGGAAGAGGTTTGAATTGGGATCTAGAAAGAGGGTTAAGCAAACGCATACGTTGAGGATTTTCCCTATCCAGTTTAAGGATCCATCCACCGTGGTTATCATCAGACGACGTCGTTTGTTTGGGGGGACTGATAAGGTAGAGGGGTGTTTTGGTAAGTTTAAAACCCCAGCTGTTTTCAGCGATGCCGTTATTAGGGAGAATGGGGAAACGAGAAGGGGTATTCGGGTAGGGTTTAGGAGGAACGGAGGAACGCCAGGAAGAGCAAACGGAACGGAAACGGAGGAAATCGATTTCGAAAGAGAGGTATTTGGAGATGAGGTCTACGAGTTCTCGAGGGAGTTGAGACCATTCAGCCATTAGAATAGTAGATTGATTGAATGGGCGAATAGAGAGAGATTTGTAACTACTATTTAAAGTAATTTGAAGGGGATGCAAATCTGAGAAGATACCTCCTGGAAATAGCTTCTGCCATTGACACATGGACGAGATGTACAAGGTTGTTTCGGACCTTGTATGTAAACCCTTTTGGGCCAGCCACAGCAAAATTCACAAATAGCCACTTTTATGTCTGCTGTTTGCAAATAAGTCATAATTACAAAACTAATGAAACTTAATCCATTTTTATAAGAAAATAATATTTGGATAAAAATATCTCAATTTTTCATCCTTTTTACTATTTCAAATTCCAAAAACAGTGTGTTAAAATTCAAGCTTCTACAAATTATACTCCACTATAGTGTCGTGGACTTCAAACTTGCGAAACTCCAGGGGGAAAAATAGGGGAATAGATAAAGCAAGTTGTTTTAAATTGAAACTTTTACTTATCTATACAATATTATAAATTTATTTACCACTCCTTGAGAGATTATCACTTAATTACATTAGCATATATAATTTATCAATTATGTACAAAATAATCTTTCGATCAATATGAAAAGCATTGGCAAGAAGATAACCAAAGTATTGGTGAATTTGATCTGAACATTGTGTTCACAACACGAATATGTCCAGGTTCTTGGCTGCTTAGAGCAGTAATTGTAACGTCGTTAGCTTCTGGTACATTTCTCTGGGAATGTACAAGATCCCGCGGAACAATAAATCGCACACTTCAAGGATTTTTACGGAGAGACAAGTAACAAATCTAATTTGCAAGCGACCCTTAATAAACTACTCCCATGAATATTTTACCTTTTTTATTTTGGTCCAAAATAAGTGTCAATTTACGTAATCAATAAGGAACTAATTTTATTTTTTCAAATTTTGCCTTTATTTACATACGGAAAAGGGTCGGCCCTTCCCCTCAAATATCAGATTTGGTCGAAAATTACCCTTCCTCCACCTATTGGGCTAAATATAACCTTCCCTTTAAGATTTTGGCTCACAATTGCCCTTTTAGTTAACAACCCATATCAGATTAAAAATTAATATTAGTTTTATGACGTGGCATTATTCTATTGGTTGATTTAAAATCCACCCCAAATATGTCCAACCCACCCATTCTACCCGACCCATCGCACCATTACCCATTAAACTCTCTAACCCATCGATGATTTCTAAACCAAGACTCCTTCATCATAAAATACGATTGATACTCCCCCTCTCTGTAAATTATGGTTCTTTTTATTCTTCCCTCTCCCAAATTTGAAAATCAGAGTTCTTATCTCCATCTTGTTTTAACTTTAAAATGTCAGAATCTTCTTCTGCTTATTCCCGTAAAGAGAAAAAAAGGAAATTAATGAACCAAAGAAGCACAATAGAATATCTAATTTTCTCTTTTTCTCTTTACCTTTGGTTTACCCATAATTTTTTCTTTTTCTCTTTACGGGAAGAAGCAAAAGAAGATTCAGACATTTTAAAGCTAAAACAAGATGGAGTCAAAGAAGTACACCGGAAAATGAAAATAATTTAATGAACCAAAGAAGCACAATGGAAGATCTAATTTTCTCCTTTTCTCTTTACCTTTGGTCTACCCACCATTTTCTCTTTTTCTCTTTACGGGAAGAAGCAGAAAAAGATTCAGATATTTTAAAGCTAAAACAAGATGGGGAAGATTTAAGAACTCTGATTTTCAGATTTGGGAGAGGGAAGAATAAAAAAGAACCCTAATTTACAAAGAGTGGGGTATCAATCGTATTTTATGAGGAGGGGAGTCTCGGTTTAGAAATCATCAATGGGTTAGAGAGTTTAATGGGTAATGGTGTGATGGGTCGGGTAGAATGGGTGGGTTGGACATATTTGGAGTGGATTTTAAATTAACCAATAGGATAATGCCACGTCACTAAAACTAATATTAATTTTTAATCTGATATGGGATGTTAACTGAAAGGGCAGTTGTAAGCCAAAATTATAACGGAAAGATTATATTTAGCCCAATAGGTGAATGGGGGGCAATTTTAGACCAAATATGATAGTTTAGGGACAGGGCGGATCCTTTTCCGATTTACATATTCCAAATTGTCAAGGTAATAATTAATTTAGGTTAATTTAGTGAATACATCTTTTTCTCTCTACGTGTTCGTATTTCCTTAATGGGTATGCCAAAGGTAAAATGATCACTTATTGTGGACCGGAGGGAGTAAATAGTACTAATCAGAAGCAAGTAGATTTAATTAAAAATCCCGTAAAACTATTAAAAACACCATTAACCACCATTGAAAAACTTCGAAGCTTTGAATATGTAAATTGAATTTTGTAAAATTGTTATTTATTTGGATTGAGTGTTTTTGTAAATGGTTGAGAATGTTTTTTCGAGTTTCTATCTTATTTTTAAGAATTTTTGGTGAAAATTCGAAGTGGTTTTAGTTGAAATTTCATATTGAAACTCGAATAAGAAGATATAAACAAATTGTATATATTTTAAATGTTATGTGCACAAACGACATACAAAATATATACAACTAACATAATTGTATATAAGTTGTATATACATTATATGTAATTCGTGGCTTTTTTTACCAGATCTACAAAAAATATTGTATTCAAGTTGTATATAAATTGTAGATTTTGACCGAATTTATATATATTTTGTAAAAAGTTTTGGTTACCTTTTGTAAATAGGAAAACTTAGTAGGCGTTTGGACATGAATTCCAATTATTATTTTTTTTCAAATTTGGAATTTCACTAAAATTTGAATTGAAGATGAAGTTGTGTTTGGTTATAATTTTTGTAACATATTTGGATGTATTTTTTTCAACATATTTTACAACTGAAAACTAGCAACCTTCCCATTTTTAATTTTTCAAATTTGAAAATGCATTTTCAAATGAGATTGGAAAATTTGTAAGATTTTGATAATCAAACATTGTTTTAAAAAAAAAATTGAAAAAAATGAAAATTTTCTTATGTCCAAACGGGCTTTAGATAAATCGGGTAAATAAATTTAAATTTTCGTATATATATGAAAAAATTCCTTTTAAATTGAAATATCATTGTCCAAATTTTAATTCACATAAAGAATGACTAGTTTTTAATTATTTAACTAATATTGGTTATTTTTCAATTATACACCCAAAAATTGGCCAACTAGTGCTATTTTTATGGACATTTGGTCAACGGTTGGGTGATTTACGAAATCCTAGTTACTTTAATTTTATTGACATTCTTTTTCTCTGTATTTTCTTCCTGAAAGAAAAGAAAAAAAGATACATACGATATGAAATAAAAGGTTACTATAAAATATTCTTTTAAAAGCATATTACGAGCAAGATTCACACTAATGAAGTGTGACCGCCAATGTAAAACCGAGTCCTTCAGGAATTAGGCATGGGATTTAGCATAGATGTTAGTTTTATACCTCTTATTTTCTAGGTAAATTTGGCCCGACCTTTCCCTTTTCTTTATACTTCCTTTGTTTTTTTCCTTGGACTTCAGCGAAAACCTTCGGGGACCCTGTACAATTGCAAGATCGTCTCTTTTGTTGCTTAAACCCCATAAACCTGCAAAAACCATTTGCTTACCTCCTCCAAGAAACTTTCAATACTGTTATTCCCAATATTGTAAAAGTGTATATCAATGAAGAACACAGACCCTAAGAATCCCACCACTCAGAAAATTTTTGGAACAGTTATAAATGAAGATGATGCCTCCCATTTAGTCGGCGGCATAGTTGAAAAGGGTTTTTCAGAACAACCATTAAACGGGCCAACTAGTTGGACTTTTGCCCCTCGCCCCACTGTTCTTCCTTTTCCTGTGCCCCGTCACCGCTCTCACGGTCCAGTAAGCCCCTCCTCTTTGTTAATCTGTAGCTATTCTGCATCCATTTTAATTAACAAGTTTAATTTCAGCTCCCACTTTGGCAAAGATTTGATCTTTTTTGTCATTACAACAACTAAGCCTCAGTCACAAACAAGTTAGGTCGGCTTTATGAACCCTCATTGACCAATGTTTCTCCGTTTAAATTCAGCTGGCCAACATTATACAAAATAAAAATAAAAAGTACTAGAATGAAGAATCTCTACATTTTCTATTGGCATAAAAATCTCTTATAGGGCAAAAAGACACCTAGTAAGCTCTAGACCCGAAGTAAATGTACTAACAAGACTAATACTGAGAGATACAAATATGGACTAGCTAAGGAATAGTATTAGACATTGAGCGTTTTACATACTCATCTGCATTAATGGAAGTATGTGCTTTTTTTTGGCTATGAGGAAGTATATGCTTTTGTTTGGCACGTCATAGTATAAAGTAACTGCTTAGTTTTCGAAGTCATGTATAGGAGGAAGAATGAGCTTTTTGGTTATCTCAGTGTATTTAGGAACCTGACTTGTTACTTGAACTAATATGTGCATCTATCCCCATATTTGTATAGCATTGGGCACCAAAGGTTGGAGATGTTTGTGGTAACAATGATCACGATGATGAAGAGAATGAAGAGGAAGAAGAAGATTTCACTGGAATCAACCAGATTGGAAATTTTGCTAAGCCCGTGCAAAGAAAAGAGAAGAAAGGGATGGATTTTTGTAACTGGCGGGAGATAGTGGCTAGTGATAATAGTTCTGTGCCATACAAGAGGGAAGAAAGGGAGCGCAAGGTGAATTCGACATCAAAAGAGCGAAACGCTGTTGCAGAAGCATCTCAAAACAAAAACAACTCTAATGAACGTCCACCAGATGAAAATGGAAATGGTGCTAGTTTATCTGTAGAAGATGGTACAAAATCTCAGGATGTCATCATGGAGGATGAGCATTTGGTTCAAGAGAAAGAGGAAGACATGGCCATGGATATCGAACAGGGAGGTGTGGAACAAAGTAGCCATTCTGTCTTACCACAGCAGAAATGTGGAAATGGTATCACTGAACAGGATGAAGAAATAATTGAGGATATGCATCCTACCTTACAGGTTAACGCTCAGAAATGTAGCATTTCTGCAAACAAAGCCGATGCTAGCTTTGACTCCGAGGAAGTGGAAGGAAGGCACAATGCTAGTAATCTTGAGAGTCAAATTGATGCTGAGAATCGAGCTCAATTAGCAAAAATGTCAGCTGATGAAATTGCTGAAGCACAGGCTGAATTATTGGCAAAACTAAGTCCAGCAGTTTTGGAGGCACTGAAAAGGAAAGGCCAAGAGAAGTTGAAAAGAGAAAAATCTTATAGATCCGGTTCTCATCTCAGTGGAGAAAAGGGTAGTTTGCTGGATCGGATGAAGAATGAAACCTCACAAGGCACACAGAAAAAAAATGTGGAAGATGATACTCCAAAGTTGAACGCCAGTACCAGTGTATGGGATGAATGGAGTAAACGAGTTGAGAGTGTCCGAGAATTAAGATTTTCTTTTGATGGCAATATTGTGGAGAGTGAACTTGAGGTCCCAAAGAGTGGTAAGCCTAAGTTTGTTTATACCTTCGAAGCTAATACTATTTGGTACTGCATGTTCATTCTTTGTTATTTCCTTCTAGTGTATGTCTGCATGATTCATCTAAGGAAGAAATAAATTTACCTAGCATCATAAGTGAGCACTGGAAATCACGAGTTTAGTGGCAGGCTCCTGTACTTAAGCTGGTCGAAACAGTCAAAGATGAATATGTAGATCAATCTTATGTCTAATATGAGTTACATTTATGTGGTTGGCGCAGTTGCATCAGCTAATCCTATTGAATAAGTTCCGGTTCATATGTTCATGTGTATTCCTTTTCTAATCCTAGTTTGCAGCAAGGATTAGGGTGGATGACCTCTCTGGTATATTTGAGGAAACACTTTGCGCGCACATGGATCACTTTGTCATATAACCAATAGAAACCAAGATAGGTCATTCCCAAGAGGGGTAGGAGTTCTTCAAGTCTTCATTAAGTGCAGATATGCCCGAACTATCTTCATGGTGGATACCACTTTGTTGTAGTGCTATCTTAGTATTCTTTTAGTAAAAGTCATTTCTTCGTACTACTGGGGAATATCCAACTTTCTTTTCCAGATCAATTCTGTCTGCTTTCAGTGCTCGTCAAATATTTCTTTTGCAGGAAATCTTTTCCAGTTTAACATGTCTCATCGGGGTTGATTTTATGTGGTGACTGAAGATAGACTGTCTATTCTACGTTTTGGATCGGACACACTTTAATTTCTTTAAGTACTGTAGAATTTGATGGTATCTGCATATATTTAGACTTGCCAGGTATCGACTGATGTTTTTGTTTGAGGGAGGACAGTGTTTCTCATGTCAACTGTCAAAGTTAAGAACTGACCTTGTATATTCATACCCCAACTACACACATGCATCAAGGAAAAAAATTAAAAGAACTGGTGCCTATTTCCAACCTGGTAGCTAAGAACTGGCCTTGCCTTGTTCGCAAATATTGGACCTATAGGTTTATGTACATAGTGTTTGCCTCGCAGGTGTGTCCGTTGCGCAAGATCTCTCCGAGCGTGACTATCTACGAACTGAAGGTGATCCTGGCGCGGCTGGTTACACCATAAAAGAAGCAGTCGCTCTCACAAGAAGTGCAGTTAGTATATTTAAATTTGAATATTTTGGATGTTTAATATCATTTTTTTGTGTCTGCATGTCCATGTTAGTCTAATTGCGTGTTTTAAGTTTTTGAGCTCCTTGGCTACAGGTAGCTGGACAACGAACAATTGCTTTACATCTTATTGCATCTGTGCTTGATAGAGCAATATGCAGAATTCACCAGAATCAGCTGGGGTGTATCTTAAGATCTCAGGACAGAGATGGATTTAATGACTGGGAGGCCATTTGGGCTTTCATACTAGGGCCAGAACCTGAGCTTGCTCTATCATTGAGGTAGATTTAAGTGCTTCCTCTTTGTTTTACTTGGCCGCCTCTTGCTTGTGATATGCTAAATAATGGCCTCTGTATGAGATAGTGCCATGCTTGTTCATTCCCCTGAATTAGATATTATGCTTTTTTCCCCAAAATAGTTCTCAAGATGTAATGCCCTTGTTTTTTGGTTTGGAGACATCATTGATATTGTTGTTGTTGTTGTTGTCCATGCATACCCAATTATTCATTTTTTCCCCTCCATTTGTTGGTAATCTNGACTTGGCCGCCTCTTGCTTGTGATGTGCTAAATAATGGCCTCTGTATGAGATAGTGCCATGCTTGTTCATTTCCCTGAATTAGATCTTATGCTTTTTTTCCCAAAATAGTTCTCAAGATGTAATGCCTTTGTTTTTGGTTTGGAGACATCATTGATATTGTTGTTGTTGTTGTCCATGCATACCCAATTATTCATTTTTTTTCTCCATTTGTTGGTAATCTTCTTTGTTTTTAGCATTGCTTTCACTTGTTTCTTTTGAGCCTCCACTTGGAATGGGGAGTAGGAAGGTTGTTGTGGTGGAAGGGCAAGAACAACTTGTTTTTGAAGGAAAAAACATCATGCGAAGTGTTAATCTTTTTCCTAGGTCAAAGGCAAAAACCTTTGGGTTATTCGATTTTGTTAACTTCTCAAAATTATTTGAAAAATGGCTAAAAAAGAATATAGTGGGAAAATAGGTGGAAATTGTGAAAACTGTCGAGAACAGGGGGAAAGTTGGTAAAATCTATTAACAGTGTAAAGTTGATTGCAGAACTTGCAAGTAACAGAATTATATCCCACAGTTTCTGTTTTTGGTGTGCCTCCTTGTAGAATCTTAGAACCAAATTAGCCCTTTAAAAATCCTTTTTCTGGATGGGCATTGTTATACATAGGCCCGTCTAAAAATGATTGGGTGGTCGGCAGGTCAGCTGATGGTAAATGCTCTGCCTAGCATTCTGAGAAGTCCAAGAGATTCAATGTCGCGGACTCATGGACATATTACTACACAAGAATCTGAGATTTACTCTACTTTACATAGTGAATTTCTTGCGTATCCACCTTGAAATAAATAAAGAGTAGAGATTTACTCTGGTCTCCTTACTGCTATGCAATCTGAACTACTCAGCTTAGTAGTTGGCTCAAAACCTTGGGTTCATAGACATAGATATGTCTATACCAGAATGATTTTGGTTTGTGTTCAAGGAAGTAAAGTTGATTGTATTTGCCTTTTTTCCACATTATAGTTGAAGGGTATGAACTAGGAATAGCTGGATGACAGCCCTTCAATCTGAAAATAATGTACTTCAGTAGTTAAATTAGGATTCCTGGAAATAGTGAACTTTGCTATGCGTGGAACAAGATCAATTTTCTTTCAGACAACAAATGTTGTATTCTTTCTTACTCAAAGGAAGTGTTCAATGAAAATGCATTTTTTACTTTTAGGATGTCTCTGGATGACAACCACAGGTCCGTAGTTCTGGCTTGTGCTAGAGCTATTCAGTGTGCTCTTTCCTTTGAGATCAATGAGGATTTTTTTGAAATCGTGGAGGTAAGACTATGAATTTTATTGCCTCTCTCTCTCTCTCTCTCTCTCTCTCTCTCTCTTCTGAACTATGCATTGGAAGATGGTTTATACTTAACCTCTGTGCTTTTATCAGAGGATACCAACTCTTCAGAGGGATGCACCTACTGCTCCTGTCTTTAGAAGTCGACCAGAGATCGAAGATGGTTTTGTCCATGGTGGTTTCTGGAAATACAATACTAAACCTTCCAATATACTTCCTTTTGCCCGGGATTCTGTGGAAAATGATGAAAGTGAACGCACTATTCAGGATGATGTTGTTGTTGCTGGCCAAGATATAGCTGCAGGACTGATTAGGATGGGGATCCTTCAAAGGGTTCAATATCTCTTGGAGGTATGTCTGTCTGTTGTAACTTGTAAGGAGCCATGCTTCTTTGTGATTGTGGGAGCAACTTGTCCAATATATAAATCTGCCTCATAAATGCTGACTACGCGTTGTGTACTGTAGTATGACATATTATCTTTTTTTAATGCCAGACTGAGCCTTCAGCAGCTTTGGAAGAATGCCTAATTTCCATATTAATTGCGATAGCTAGGCATTCGCCAACATGTGCAGATGCAATTATGAAGTGTCAACGGCTGGTTCAAACGATCATCAACAGATTCACTAGTAAAGAGCAAATGGAGATTAGTATCTCAAAGATCAAGTCAGTTGCACTCCTGAGAGTAAGCATCAAGAATCCATGTTTGAAGCGTTTTTGTCTGAAATAAATCTATCCAAATTTTAAGTTGATTCCGATGTTTAAATATTATTCTTTAATATGTGACAGATTTTGGCTCGATCTGACAAGGAGAACTGCCTAGAATTTATCAAGACTGGAATATTTCAAAAGATGATATGGCAATTGTATCGATATACCTCTTTTGACCAATGGGTAAAGTCTGGAAAAGAGGCTTGTAAACTTTCATCAGCTCTTCTGGTTGAACAGTTACGGTTGTGGAAGGTTTGTGTGCAACATGGGTATTGTGTATCATACTTTGCCGATTTATTTCCTGCCTTGTGCATTTGGTTGAATGTTCCTGCGTTTGAAAAGCTGATTGAGAACAGTGTCCTCAGCGAATATGCTGCCATTGCCAAGGAAGCATACCTTGTCCTGGGTGCTTTAACTAGAAGACTGCCGATTTTTTATTCCCACATGCAACAATTGGACAGGGGTACTACAGAAGAAGCAGAAAACTGGTGTTGGGCCCATGTTGGTCCTATGATTGATTCTGCCCTAGAGTGGATCAGGTTAAAGAAGATACCTCTCCTATCTCGTCTATTTGAGTGGCAAAATGAGGAGGAATTGAATGGCGATATACAGGATTCAGCAGTTTCTCCCTTGCTGTGGTTGATATCTTCAATTATGGACATGCTTTCTGCAGTGCTTGAAGCTGTAATCCCTGAAGATAATGCAGAGTTGCGCCATGGGAGTCTTCCATGGCTGCCAGATTTTGTCCCTAAGATTGGACTAGAAATTTTAAAAAATGGACTTATGAGTTTTTCAGGCTTAGTTAGTGCAAGCCATGATAGTTCTGCTGGCAGCGGTTCATTCCTTGAGTGTTTGTGTTATTTGAGAAAAATAAACGGACGAGAAACGTCAATAGCGTCCAGTAGTTGCCTTCAGGGATTGTTGCGAGTTGCTTGGTGTGTTGATAAGCTGATCTCACTAGCTAACAATGAGCCTCGGGATCTATTCGCCAAATATCAGAGTTTCACAAGAGAGGAAGAAACTCTTGCTGATGGGATTCTTCACTGCTCTCTGCCTGAGTTAAGAACTTTGATGACAAGTTTAGTGGAATCAAATGGTTCCAAATGGCATCATATGAATTCAATTGAGACATTTGGTAGAGGTGGTCCAGCCCCAGGAATTGGTGTAGGCTGGGGTGCCCCTGGTGGGGGCTTTTGGTCCAAACACATTTTATCAGCTCAAGTAGATGCACGATTGTTCATTTACTTGCTTGATGTTTTCCCTATCGTATCTGTCAAAGATCAGTTTACAACTGAAGGCATGAACACTATTATACAAAAAATAAATTCTGTCATGGGAGCGTGTTTACTGCTGGGGCCAATGGATAGTTCTGCAGTAGATAAGCTGCTTGATTTCTTATTTCAAGTTCCCACTCTAAAGTACATCGATTTCAGTATACGCCAATTTCTTACTCTTAAGCAAGGTTATCAGTCTCTCGAGAGGGTGTATGAAGAAGAGGACTATTTAATGTTGAGTGATGTCTTAGCTTCTCACTTCAAGAAGAGATGGTTGTCTGCAAAACAGAAGCGTAAATCTGCTGCTGGAGATGAGCACGTATGCCGAAAGAATCCAAAAAAAGGAAATATTTTATTGGACACCATTCCCGAGGAAATTTCTGCATCAATCCCTGCCAGCCAAGAGCCTAAATGTTTGGTGGCTGAGTGGGCTCACCAACGGTTGCATCTTCCCTTGCATTGGTTTCTCAGTCCACTCTCAGTGCTTTGTTCTACCAGCCATGAGACTCTCGATTTTCTTAAAGTTGCAAAAGGTGGACTCTTCTTTCTCTTAGGGATTGAACTAATGTCCACCTCCCTTCCTGCTGAGTTGCGTACGCCAGTTCGAAATGTGCCTATTGTATGGAAATTGCACACGTTGTCTGCAACTTTACTTTCTGGAATGGACATTTTTGAGGAGGAAAATAGCAGGGATCTCTACAAAGCTCTGCAAGATGTCTATGGACAGCTCCTTGATAGGGAAGAAAAAGTTGATGCAATGAAACTGAAATTTAAGACGGACATACATGAGAACTACTCCACCTTCATTGACAATCTAGTGGAGCAATTTGCTGCAGTTTCGTATGGTGACATGATATTTGGTCGTCAAGTTGGAGTCTATCTGCATCACTTTGTTGAAGCTCCTGTGAGGCTTGCTGCATGGAATGCACTGTCTAATGCTTGTGCTCTCGAGCTTTTGCCTCCTTTGGAGAAGTGCATTGCCGCAACTTGTGGATATCTTGAACCTGTCGAGGTATTGCTTACTTAAACACTATCAGCAAATTCATTGAACACTTGCCAATCACATAACATCAAGTTGTCCTTCAGTGTAGTGAAAGCTATATAAATTCCTTTTCTGTTCTATGGATGTTTGTTAATTACACAACAAATTCCAAGTAATCTAGAGTTTTATATTGACTATTGAGTAAAACAGGGATTCTGGAAAGGCGCCCATACAGGAAAGTTTGTTTTATGTTTAAGGATATTAATATAATTTTGTTTTGATCGAGAAACAACGAGATATCCAAATTAGATGTAAAATACATCTTCTCTCACCATCCTAATGCAAGTTTGATATGTGTTTCTCTTGATGGATGCTCTGAGTAACTTGCTGATGATTTCGTAGACTCACTTGTGAATGTTTATTTTGACACTGATCTAGATATGTCATTGTCTATGTATGCTTACAGGGCCAGTTTAGCTATAAGTACTTACTGAAATGAGATTACTTCATATTGAGTCCTACATCGGTGGTGGGATGGGGACTTGGTCTCCTTATATGGCCTTGGACAATCCTCACCTCCTGGGCTAGCTTTTGGGGTTGAGTTAAGCCCAACGTCCATTTATCGCTTCATGTTATTTATCCCCTCCATGTTGGTTGGAAGTTGGGAGGAAGAAGAAATAGTCCAGAGTTATTCGTGCTCTGCCGTTGTGAGAAAGCACGGGAAAAAATATATATTATTTAATATATTTATTAAAAAAATATATTATTTATGACAATGATACAATGAGCCCTATATATACAATACATGTTCTACTCCTAATACATATAGGATTAGGGTTATTTACTACTATTTATACAATGAAACTAACACTCTCCCTCAAGCTGGTGCATATAAATCATATGTACCGAGCTTGTTACATATATAACTAATACGAGAACCAGTGAGGGACTTGGTGAAAATATCAGTAAGCTGATCATTCGACTTCACAAATTTTGTAGCAATATCTCCCGAGAGTCTTTTCTCTAACAAAGTGACAGTCAATTTCGATGTGTTTAGTTCTCTCATGGAACACTGGATTTGACGCAATATGAAGAGCAGCTTGATTATCACACACAAGTCCCATCCGACTAATCTCACCAAATTTCAACTCCTTGAGCAACTGTTTGATCCAACTTAGCTCACATGTGGCTATAGCCATTGCTCGATATTCTGCTTCTGCACTAGACCGAGCAGCCACATTCTGTTTCTTGCTCTTTCAAGACACCAAATTTTCTCCTGCTAAGACACAATATCCAGACGTAGAACGTTTATCAGAAAGTGACCCTGCCCCATCTGAGTATCCAACGATCTGCTCATGGCCTCGATCTTCAAACAATAAGCCTTTGCCTGAAGCTAATTTTATATACCGAAGAATGCGGACAACTGCATCCCAATGACTATCACAGGGAGAATCCATAAACTGACTCACAACACTCACAGGAAAGGAAATGTCAGGTCTAGTCACTGTGAGGTAATTTAATTTACCAACCAACCGCCTATATCTTGCAGGATCGCTAAGAGGCTCCCCCTGTCCTGGTAGAAGTTTAGAATTCGGATCCATCGGAGTGTCAACAGGTCTACTACCTGTCATTCCTGTCTCCTCAAGAATATCTAAGGCATACTTCCGTTGTGAGATCACAATACCTGAGCTAGACTGAGCGGCCTCAATACCCAGAAAATACTTTAATCTGCCCAGATCCTTAGTCTGAAAGTGCTGAAAGAGATGTTGCTTCAACTTACTAATACCATCCTGATCATTGCCGGTAATAACAATATTGTCAACATAAACGACCAGATAAATACAGAGATTTAAAGCAGAATGTTGATAAAAAACAGAGTGATCAGCTTCACTACGAGTCATGCCAAATTGCTGAATAACTGTGCTGAACTTACCAAACCAGGCTCGAGGAGACTGCTTTAGACCATAGAGGGACCGGCGCAACCGACATACAAGGCTACTAGACTCCCCCTGAGCAACAAAACCAGGTGGTTGCTCCATATAAACCTCATCCTCAAGGTCACCGTGAAGAAAAGCATTCTTAAT